CAGCTCCCCACAAAACAACAAAACCCTTCAACCAAAATCTCCCAAAATGATCCGGATAAATTCAGGTCCTTAGTCTTTTTTGGTTATTCCAATCAAGAGGAGACTTCTAGAGCAGGGCTTGAGGGAGGAGGGCTGACACTACTGAGATCTGCGACTGCCCATTCCCACCTGGGCTGGGACAATGCAATAAGGCAGGGGATAGTCTCAAGCCCTAGGGCCACCTGGATGGCCACGGGCGAGCCACAGGGGGGCTTTCAGCTGCTCATCAAGACCTTAGGACAAGGACTCTCTTCCTTCCTCTCTTCAAAGCTACAGTCTATGACAAGTCTGGATTTGGACCCTGATTTTGTCACCAGCCAGCTCCTTAGTGTCTGGCTGGGTCATGTTTCCAATGCTGTCCTGCTGTTCTCACAGGACTTGGCCTTGGGAGGCAGGGTTAACTTCCAGTGTCTAGCCTCCTGTCAGGTGGTAGTCACCGTTCTAACCACCTGCGACAGGCCCCACTGTGTGGCACAAGGGTTTGTTCAGTGTGTACTTCCTGTGGATTGGAGCATCTTCCAGGTCTGGACTTGCCCCTACAGGCCCTGGCGTCTTCAGCGGCCAGGGCTGTATCCAGACCCAAGCTGCGTGCTCCTGTACGGCCTCTCACAGATATGCATACCAAGGGCAGCAATCAGGCCAGGCCATGTGACAGACTGCTCCCTTCCAACTCCAGCTGACCCAAGGACAGCTAGGGTGCCAACCATCAAGGCAGAGCGCTGTTGACAGATTGTTGAGACTGAACGCAGCAGCCCCCACCCCCCCAGGCATGTGGCTTCCCTTTCAGCTCTCTGCAGCCCTACCTACTATGTACGTTTTTTTTTTTTGTTGTTGTTTGCTTGTTTTTTAGTTTCTTTAAACAGGGTCTCATCGTCCAGGCTGGCCTAGAATCCATGACCACCCTCTCTTGTCTCAGCCTCCCAAGTGCTGCAAATTCGGGTGTGAGCTCATCACCTTGGCATACCTTTTTGACGGCACACTGGAAGCCTGTCTGCTTGTCCTTCATTCTGTGGACCTCACCAAAGGAGCCCCTGCCCAAACGGGGCTGGTGTGTCACCCAGTGGACCTCTTCTCGGTACTCGTAGTCCACCGGTTTGAGTTTCTAGGGTTGAAAAGGGATGGGGCGGTTTCACTGGTTAGGACAGCAGAGGGACGAAGGGTTACAGTGAGGAAGACTCCAGCTAGCAGCTCTTACTAGAGCTATGGGAGGACAAACGGCCACATCCAAAGGTACTGCCAGCCCTACGGTGGGGTTACAAGGAAGACAGGTCAAAGGGTGACAGGAATAAGAAGGGAAGGTGACTGTCATAGGCTGTGGGGGAGGGGCAGATGATCCCTGCCATGAAAAGCAGAATTGCCAACAACCCTGATAATGGAAACTATAACTCAGTATCTAGAAGGTAGAGGAGAAAGGGGGGCCAAGGACAACGTCAAAAGTGAATAGAGCAAACCCAGCAAGTTGAACAAAATGCTTCAAGTTCCAAAGTTACTCAGGCAGAGAACTAAAGGACAAGCGGGGTGGGGGCTGGCATCCCTCTGTGTGCCAGAGTGTTTTCATTCAACACACAACCCAGCAACAGTGAAACTACGAAGGACTGAAAAGCTAGAAAGGCTGAGGGAAGAGGCTGCAGGGCTGCAGGACTGCACGCAGCGGGTAAAGCCTGGGGCTGTTGTTTGGGTGGGGCCTTTAAGAGATGTGGCCTAATGGGTGGAAGGTAGGCCTTTGAGGGTTTGCCCTTCAAATGTCTCTCTCTGCTTCCAGGTTGTGTTGAAGTTAGTAAGCCTCCTCCACCAGGTGCTCAGCCATGAAGTACTGGGCCAAAACCTCTGAAACTGTCAGCCCAGGCAAACCTTTCAAGTTGATTGTTTTAGGCTTTTTGTCATGGTAACAGAATCTTGATTCAATCCCAAAGAGCAAATCCATTTATTACCACAGGCACGAGTGACTCTCCTATGAGGAGAACCCTCCCTCAGGGCCTACTGGCTTAAAGTGATACTTTGCTTCCACAGCAAGCCCAACCCAGGCCCGTCTGTGGCACCTCATCTGGAAGGTGGCTATTGGAGGTCTGTGTCCAGGACTTTAGGGGTTAGTTACCTCAGTAAGCAGGACGCCCTCGTTGTCCTCAGTTTCAGGGCTGAGCCTCTGAGGCTTGGAGCTCCCTGATGACCATGTCTTAGCCAGGCTGGCCAGGCTGTTGGCCTGGCCTGAGCTCACGCTGCCTTGTAGTGCGTGCACCAGGTACTCCTCCACAGGAAGTTTTTCTTGGAGACCTCGAGATGGGTAGCTGGACTCCAGGTGTGGACCGGACAAGGGTTTCTGACTGTCTCCATAGGCCAGTTTGCTTAGGTGTGGGCCAGGTAGGGGCTGCTGGCCACTTACACTGGTTAGTTTGTCCAGGAAGAGGGATTCCAGAGGATAGGGTCTCCAGGGCTCCAGAGGGTGAAACGGGAAAGGATGAGGCAGTCTGCTGTAGGGGAAAGGGCGAGTGGAGTGGGGTGGGGGACCTATGGCCTGGGGATGGTGGAGTTTCCACACGTGATTTAGACACTGCAAGGGGCTGATCAGTTTGTGGAGCTCTGGTCTCGGCAGCGCTGGTCGCAGGCCTTCACCTTGTTTCTTACAGCACAGGTGGCCAAGGTCTGGTTCCTTCAGAGGCTTGGTGAACTGGGAGACATTTCTGGCATTGAGGATGCCTAGTAGAGACTCATCTTCCTGCAGAAAAAGTACAGGTGTCACAAGTCCCAGCCCAAATACCCATGAGCAGGAACCCGGACAATGGCGGAGGGTCTCACCTGCACAGGGACGGTGCAGCTCTCTTGCTCAGGGGTTCGGGGCAGGGGCTTGGATAGCACCACCCCTGCCTGGGCCTGTGACTTCGACCTCCTCTTCTTACGTTTTTTCCGGGCTTTGCTGTGACGCTTCCCCTTCCGGCACACACGGGCCATTTTGCCTTCAGTTGCGTGGGCCACATTGTTGGGGATTTGATCAAGACTCTCAGACTGGCTGTCAAAAAAGGGGCAGATCCACATTTTGAGTGCATGAAAGCGAGAAGAGGGAATGGTCCAGGGAACTGTCTGTGGAGTCAGAGAGACTCTGAGTGCAAACCCCAGCTCTGTCATTCCAGTCATGCATGCTTAATGACAGCGGACGCATGTGAGAAACGCGGTGTTAGGTGAGTGTGTGTGAGCATCACAGACCCTAGCACAAACGTGGCCAGATGTTTATTACTAGGTGCTATGGGCCTATGGGACCACTATCATGTACGTGACCTATGGGACCACTATCATGTACGTGACCTATGGGACCACTATCATGTACGTGACCTATGGGACCACTATCATGTACGTGACCCACTGTTGACCAAAATGCCATCACGTGGTACCTCTGCACTTACATAGTGTGGCAAGTTCCTAAGACGCAAGGAATACCAAGTTTTCTCACTTAGGAAATAAGTGTGGTATTTCCTGCCCCATGGGCTGGAGATGGGATTTAAAGGAGAACAGTGCCTAAGCCTTAGCCCCTGGCCCCTCAGCAGGTTTCTCCATAAGCTGGCTGCTGTGGGCTGGAGCACACCCACCGGCAGCCCCCCTCCAGGTGCCCGCTCTCTTGATGCTCCTTGGGTGAACTGACCCAGGGAGGGCCATTCTTGGGGCAGGCATCTTAGCTCTGACAGGTCAGAGTGGCTTTGTTTCTGTCATCTCCACCCTCAGCCCTCGGAGATACCTAGTTGCCATGGGAACTCGAGAAGCTGCCAAATGGATCCCACCCTGTCAGGTATCAAAGGAACTGGTTTCAGGAAAAAACAAGGTTTGAAAGGGTCCTGGCCACAGCCTCAGCCTCAGCCACAGCCCTTTGGCATCACAATGGGCTCCTGGAGTGATGGGAGCCTGCAAGTCTCTCTCAGGTGGCCAAAAGCAGAGAGGTCGTCAGAGACCCCACTCTCTGGGGCAAAAGAAGGAATTGCCTAAACCCTAAGGAGGGCAGCTATCACTAGCAGTTTCCAAATGAATTCAATCATCAAAGTCCCGGTGGGAAGAGGGGCCTGTGTCTGGAACAGACTCTGCTTGAATCTCATCTTTGGAGAATGGGGAGCCTGGAGACAGACAAGCCTGGCCTAGCTCCCACCCAGGGCCAGGGCTAGAATAAGACCCCTGGGGTGCCTCTACTATGGGATGATGAAAGTGGCCCCTCTGGACAGTGTTCATGGCTCACGGCTATTCACCACTGGAAGGTACTGTTCCTGGCACCCGTCCTGCTGATGGGAAAGCAGGGGTGTATCAAGGACTCGGAGGAGAATAAAAATAAAATGTCAAGTTGACAGGAGCCAGGAGCAGCTTCTGCAAGCTGACTTGGCTGAGAGTAGCTGGGCCAGGAAAGCTGGGCAGCAGCCAGGAGCAGAGCCCAGGTGCTGAAGCAGGGAGCCAGAGGCCTGGTGAGGGTGGCCTGGGCGGGCAGCTGGCAGTGGCATGGCGTCAGATCCCTCCTTTCCAGCTCCAGCAGCTTGATTTCTTACCTGTACTGCTGTGACCCTGCGATGAAAATGCGCTCTGAGAAGGTGGGGCTGAACTCTTGGCTATTTTCACCTTTAATTCAAGGAAAGGAGTCAGATTAGCAGGGAGAAGAAAACAGAGGCAGGTTTAACATTTAGGAGCTAGTCTTTGACAGACAGGCCCTAGTGGCCACTCCTCCTTTCCCTGTCATACTCCTCTGTCTGGTGGCTCACCTCCTGGCCACCATCTTACCTCTCACTGGGGTTACCCTGTCCCCAGCTTACCAGTCAACAAGAGAATGTCTGTAAAATGGGGATCATAGGGAGCTTGCCCACCTCACTTACAGTGAAGCTTCCTAGAGCATTCCACACACCACAGGGCACAGTTGTCCCCTTGATAAACAAGCTGGTATGTATTCATGTGTGCAGTCATTTTATTTTCATTTTTATTTTCTTATTTCTTCTCAAAAGCCCAAAGTGGAAGGCTTGGGGAGATGAAGCATCCGGATACATGGAGACAAATGCTACCATGAAGTGGGCTATCAGGCTCTCCAGGTACCAGGAGGTGGTGCTGAGGACAGCAGAGGACTCCGGTGACTCCCAGACTTCCTGGGAGTTCTTGTTTCCCAAGCAGCCATCACTATCATCTCGAGGCAACAGGAGTAGAAATGGAAAGGACCAGACTTGGCCTCACCTGCTGAAGTTGGCTGCCCAGAGACTGACCCAGCAGGTTCAAGAGTGGGGTGCTTATTTTGGGGGCATGGGGTGGGGGTGGGTGGAGCCATCTGTGGTTGAAGGCAGTAAGGTATGTAGGCCAGAGGTTTCCTAGGAGACTTGCTTGGCCTTTCCTGTCTGGGCCCCTCCAGATGCTACTGTTCAATGCCACAGCATAAGGTTAAGGTTAGCCTGGTGCTCTTACAGAGTTCTGCCTCTCGGCTGGTCCCCTCTTCAGGACAATGGCACAGCCTCTATTTGCTAGGTCCCCCACGATCCACCCAAGCTCTCTTATAGCTTCCACTTACATGTTCTGGGCTAGTCCTCCAAATGTGTCTGGTGAGAATCTTATAGTGTGACCAGTATGACCTCACTCTTCCATGGGGACTTCAAGGCTGACCTCCCATGCCCAGTCACCCATCTGCAAGCCCATTCATTTGCCACTGTGCTCAGCGCAGCCCCAGATCCTTACATTCAGCCTGGGCGATGATGGAGATGGCGGATGGCCCGCCCTCGGAACCTTCCTTGGCTGTGCCTTTAGTAATAACGTCATTCAGGATCTCCCACTTCCCACAGAACACGGGGCTCTTCTCCACAGCCTCAAGCTTGTAGATGCAGCTCTGTTTCTTCCCTAGTGACTGTGTCTTCTCCTTGGCTTTAGCGAGCTCCTTCTGCTGCCCAACTGCTGAGCCAGGAGAGCCTGGGCAGGCCACTTCCATCACTGCCATCTCCTAGGCTCGTGCTCACCTTGAGGGGGTCAAACACAGACCAGGTCACTCCAAATCCCAGACCCCATGTAGACGTTAGGCACAGGTTGGAGGGGAAATACATGTGTGTGTGGGGGGCACACTGGAAGGTTCCTGATTCTTTATGTCAAGTGTATCATTCTCCAAACACCCTGAGTAGTGATGAAGCCAACCTCACAACATTTACAAGCATTTCATTTGTGGGACCCCTGGTCTACTGCACTGCAGTGTAAATGGATTGCTCTGCTGGGCCTGCAGAGAGACGGGAGTCATTTTCCTCAGTGGTGTAGCCACTGGTACATTGTCCATGCTCCAATTAATAAACCCACACCCATGCTCATGCAAACGATCCTAGTTAATCTCATGCAGCATGTGCGTGCATGTACACACACACCAGAGAGAGGGAGAGGGAGAGAGAGAGAGAGAAGCAAGAGGGAGGGGGAGAGGAAACGAGAGAGATAAGAAGATAACGGGTGAGCTGAACAGATGGCACAGTTAGAGCACTTGCTACTCTTGCAGAGGACAAGGATTTGGTTCTGAGCACCCAAAGGCAGCTCACGACTATTTGGAACTACAGTTCCAGGGATCCAGTGCCCTCTTCTGGCCTCCATGGGCACTGCACACATATATACATAAAGGCTAAACATTCAATACACAAAAATAATTTTAATTTTTAAATTACTATATTATTTTTTTTGAGACAAGGTTTCTCAGTGTCGTCCTGTCTGTCTTGGATCTTACTCTGTAAGGCTGTCCTTGAACTCACGGACATCTACCTGCCTCTGCCTCCTGAGTGCTTAAAGGTGTGTGCCACCATCACCACTGGCCTAAATATATTTCTTTTAAAAGAGGGCAATGGTGTGAATATTATCAAAATACATTATATGCATATATGAAATCATCAAAGAGCAAAATAAAAATAGGTTTTAAAGAAGAGTCCACCTTCCCCTGCGGACAGCTGTGACATGGAATTGGAACTGGACTTTTGCCTCTACAATGACTAAGCCTCCTCCTATTGTTTGGAAAACTTTGTTTCCTCAGGACAGGGCAGTGAATCTTATCTTCTATTGCCATCACCTCACAGACCCCAGGGATACCTTGCCTTCACAGAAGGCACTAGAGTGGCTCTTTTTCCAAAGGAGAAATCAAGGTTTGGATTTGTTTAAATCAGGGACAGATACATGTAGTCACGTGCCATTTAATGATGGGGATACATTTTGAGAAATGTGTCTCCAGGAAATTTTAGCATTGTGTGAGTGTCACAGAGTGCATTATGACATCATCAGGGGAGACAAAGCGGTATGGACCCAGCGGTACATGCAGTCTCATTGTGGTCAAAACACTGTCATGAAATGCATGGCTTTATATGAATATGTGTGCATAAATGTTACAATGCTATTATTCAGCCTAAAAATGGGGCTCAACACTTGGCTCCTTTCCAATGATGCAACTGTTTGTGGTTCTTTAGAAGGTTCTGAAAAATAGCTTCCTCTTCAAATGTCCAAACTCATTTGTTGAAAACTTCTAGGTAACTTTTTTTTTTTTGAGTAACATTTATACTGGGGACCTTAACACTAACCAATGTCTGGACACACAGCATGAAACACCACCTCTCTCTGGCTTCCACATGGACCACTCTGCACTTCCCAAGAGTGCAATCACATGCTGCTGTCATCCCGTGCCCACAGCACAGATATTAGAATCACCATGAGAGAAAACAGTGGCAGCCTAAGCTACCAAGACCAGTTTCTCTGCATATTCCTGGCTGTCCTGTAACTCACCCTGCAGACCAGGCTGTCGTCAAACTCAGAGATCTGCCTGCCTCTGCCTCTGGAGTGCTGGAATTAAAAGCGTGTGCCACCATGTCCCACTAGTATTGAAATCCTTTTTCAAGTTAGGAATATTTTTGTGTGATGTTGGGGATTGAGCCCAGGACGTCCAGCACGTCATAAGTGTGTTCCACCACTGAGCTACACCTCAGCCAAGACAGGACTTAAAAAAAAATTACACGTATGGGTGTTTCGCCTGCATGTATATCTGTGTAACACATGTGTGCCTGGTGCCCTCAGAGGCCAGAAAAGGGCATCTGATCCCCTGGAATTGGATTTACAGACAGTTGTGAAGTCACCATGTGGATGCTGAGACTCAAACCTGGTTCCTCTGGAAAAGCAGCAGTGCCCTTAACTACACTAAGCCATCTCTCTGGTCCAAAGACAGGGATTATTAAAGGGCAGGGTGTAACTTGCTTCAGACAAAGCCTGAGAAGGTACCACATGCAGGCAGGTCTTGAATAATTGTTCTGGCAGGTCACTCTTAATGCTGTTACTCACTGATGCAGTCTTCCCCACCGTAACACCATTAAATTCAACTCATACTTGCTATCGGGGCAGACATGCACACCAAATGAAGCCAGTCCTCTAAGACCCCTGGCCATCTGCCCAGTCATGCCCAGAAGCTAGTGTTATAGCGGAGAGCTGAGGAATACCAGGCCTCTTCTAGGATAGCCGCACTCACCTCCTTCCATCCCAGTGGCTATGGAAGCCTTATCAGCCCAACTGGGACATGGGCTGGGCTCTGTTTTTGCATTTGTTTTTGCATCTCTACCTCTTGAGGGCAGGCTAGCCCTGAACTCAGAACAGCTCCAGTCTCCAGCAGGGGTGCCTGGTTCTGGAGGCTAGAATGGACAATCTGTCACTTGGTCACTTTAAGATGCCTATGGGGAGTTCTGACTTCCAGCTGAGCAAAAACAGCCTCCAGGCAGGCTGTTATCATAACTTTTGTCATTTCCCTACATACCTCCCCAAATCCCTTGACCTTTCAAAAACTGACTTAAAGTCTACAATAAACCCCAACTTTCTTAGCCTTTTTACTAGGGAAAATTCAATTTAAAAATCAACTAGAAGACTCCCCAAATCTAACAGAAGTAGATGTGTGCTTAAAGGGAACTCAGGGTTACTTCAGTCTCCTTATTTCCTGTGAAAACCCTGAAGTCTCCCCAAGTGGATCCCTGTTCAGTCAGCCAGGCCCTGTGTGGCAGAGGTGCCAGGCTGCGGACCCCAGGCTTTTCAGGCTGGATGGGCACACTCCTCGAGTTTCCCAAGTCACAGGCAAACATGAAAAGAAACGCATGGTCCTCTGTGGTCAGAGGGCTCCTCAGAGTAGAGGGAGACCCTGTGCATGGCTGCATCTTTGTACAGAGAACAGCAAACCAGGATGACTCACGTTGGCTGAACGAGGACACCAAAGAACATGCACATCTGTAGACCTTCAGACAGGGTAACTCTGAATGTGAGCCATGAATGGGGAAGACAGTGGCCCCAAGTTGTGCTCTGCTCAGAGAGACTGCCTCTACCTGGTATTGAAAGTTCACCTTGAGCTAGAGCTCTTTTAGAGGCTTTGGGGCACTCAGCCTAGCCAGGACCTTTCTTTCACCTAGGTGGCTAGCTGGGCAGAGGCCAGCAGCCCTGTCGCCCCCACCCCTGTGTACACACAGCAAACGCCGGGCTGCCCTCCCTGGGGAGAAGTTGAGGTTGTGGCCTCTCGTGTACTCCCCAGTGACTCATCCCCGGTCCAGCAGCAGAATGACAAGGAGGCCATTGAGAAGCTGACCCAGCAGATGGCAGCTGGACCTGAGAATGGCACAGGGGACCCCCGCCCTCCCAAAGGCAGACAGTTAAAGCCAGCAGTGGAGCTTCTCCTACAGCTGGCTTTCCTGTGCTCATGGCCATGACTCAGCCCCTCACTGACAGCCTCCAGGTTCCCTGGCCTGATGGCTGCTCTCCCACAAATATGGACGAGCCTGCTTCCTCTCTCCTCCCCCACTTCTATGTGGGACAGTCCATAAAACTCAGTTCAGTATCAACGTTAGGCCTCTAGCTAGGTGTCCGTCCCAGTCCCAGGCTTTGGGTGCTGGCTCACCCCTCACTCCCAGGCCTGAAACTTGTCCTTTCTCTCTCCCCTAGAGTGCGTGGGGAGTGGGGGCTAAATGAGGTCAAGGCTCTACTTCATCAGTCAACCCAACCCCCTCCTCAGCTCCACCTCAGCCTCCAATGCATGCAGCCGCCTGCTGTCTTCACTGTATGGAAGCCAAGGATGACGGCAAAGGCAAGAGCCACACCCAGGGCCCACACAGAGAAAAGGCAGGGGTTCAGGCCTCGTTCATATACCCAACCCAACCTGATCTCTTCTTGTGGTGCCTCGATGGCACTGCATGAATCTAGGGGCGGAAGTGACTGGGGTGCTACCAGATCAACCCTAGGCTATGCCTATAAGAGCAGTTCTTGGTTTGGGCATAAGGATGTCTGGGAGCCACAGGAGCAGGATGTAGTTTGTACTTTTCCAGGGAAGGGGTCATGGCGCTTGCCGTGTTGCCCGTGTATACCATGGCCCAGAAAGTTGCTCCAGGGTCTCAGGTCAGGGCCAGGTTCCATGTCTGACTCTGCCTTTGATCTCCTCCCCCAAAGAGCTCTCAGTGCAGGAGGTTTCGACCTGAAAGTCTGGAACCGTGAAAGTTACAGTGCCAGATGACTTCTTAAAGCGCACTCGTCCTAGACACACTCAAGAGTCACTGGGCTCAGGCCCAGAATATGCTTTTCTTTTAGTGCTGGAGTCCAAAATCAGGGCCTCACCCACGCCAAACAAGTGTTCTACCACTGAGGTACATTACACTCCCAGAACCTTTTAAGAGAACATATTCTGGGGTCTGCCAAGGCTGAGAACTTGAGTTTGATCCCTGGAGCCCACAAAGTAGCAAAAAGAGAACCAACTTGCACAGGTTTTCCCTCTGGCCTCAGTTTGTGCACATGGCATTTGCACACACACACACACACACACCAAATACTGAAAAGTAAAAAAAGAGATCACTTTAACACAGTTAAGGGTCTTGAACCTGGCAGCCCTCCTGTCTTAGCCTCCTAAGCAGTCATCAGGCACCATCCATGTCTAGTTAGAGTCTGAACCCTTAAAGAAAGAGGAATTGTTTTTATCTTCACACATGTGGGGAAGCTGTGGAGGTCTGAAGAGTCAGTCAGATCTGGTTCTGGGGTCATGTATTTGTCTACATTTAATTACAATGACATAAGAGGTAAATACAGTTCCTAGGGTATACTAGTTACCACCTGGAAAGCTCAGATGGAAAACACTTCTGTTTCCAGTATTCTGGGACAGAAACAAGATTTAGGCTAAATGAGTCTCTGATTCATTAAAAGGTACAACAGTAATATTTTAAATGTTGGCCTTTAGAACAAACAGCTTTTCTAAAATGTATCATATTTCACTTCCCTCTTTTAGTAAGTACATTGACCCTGAGAACAACAGGCTGGAAACAGAAGCTAAGGCTTCTAGCTTTATTTTAAAAAAAAAAAAGCAGTAGGGCCATTTTTGTCAAATGAAATCATACCTCATCACCATCTGAAAGCTAGAAGCATGTAACCTCATGTAACTCATATCAGAAACAGCAACAGCCACCCTGGCTAATGGAGGTGGACAATAGGCCCACCCACTCAACTTTCTTCCCCTCAACTGAACCTCTATAGAACCCTAGGTGGCTAGGAAAAGCCTTAGACCAATGGTCTCAGGTTCCTCCTAGCTCCCAGACAGACCAGGTCAGGATTAGTGGAGGACGGGATGACTCCAATTCAGAACAGTAGTGGCTAATAGTTACTAAGCACCTAGCATTATTTAACCTTCCTTTTACTTGGGGAAGTGAGCAGTTCCCAGCATGACTGAAAGGTTACACAACTAGAGGTGTACTAGACTTGGTCCCTGCCTCTAGAACCTGTGCACTGGCCTTGGCCAGTTTCTCTGAGTCCTCTCAGGAAGTCAGAGCCCTGCCTTTCAGGGATCTTCTAAGCAGACAGTAGAACCACAGCTCGTCTGGCCAACAGAAGATGCCAAGTACACGTGTCCCTTTGCCCTTACTAGGCTGTGACCACTGAGTCACTGACACTTCACATAAACAAGGTGTCCACAGCCTCACCTAAGGAATCCCATGTTCATTTCACCCTCCACAAAAGGGAAATCAAAGCAGGTGAGGCCGTCTTGAAAATGTTCCCTGAAGGACCCGAACAAATCTCTCTCGATTCCATTTGGAAATAAGAGTGTGTCCTCTGAATGCCCAGAGGGATAAACAGCAGAAGTAGAATGACTCAACTTCCTTAATAAGATATGGGTTGAAACCAATGTCACCCTAATGCTTCCTCTTTTTCGCCCGAAGCTGGCCTAGCCATCAGACCACACCAGTCAGGCTCCAAGCTAACAAAAAGGAGGGACTGTGAAGCAAGGGGGAGCCTAGTGTGAGTGGCAGAGAGGGATGTGCCCTGGCACACAGCTGTTTGGCCAATTGTGCCCCCAGGTCCCCACACCTGCTCCACCCTGGCTCCCCTTTCTGCCTGGTTTGCCCCACCCACCCCTGCCCTGCCCTGGCACCCAGCCAGCCAGAACTGGT